TTGGCCCTTGAATTAAGTTCATTAGTCTTAGGTACGCGCTTTAGCCGTGTACCCAATACAAATTGATATATTATTTTAAAGAATATAAAATATTATTAAATAGTATGATTGGCTTGCAAAATAAAAAATTTAAAAAGTATAAGCTATTAAAAAGATGAATGTTGATCACGAAAAAATCTTGGCCATAGAAGTCCTCAAATACATAATTGTGATTTATGAGGACTTTCGAGAATATTTTATGAAAATTATTGATATATTTGTGACCTAAGTAAACAAATAATAAGATTTCTCAAATAAAATAAATTTAAAAATTTAATATTTTTGTCTTTAGGGAATAAAGATGTTGGCTTATAGCTCATAAAAAAAATTGGATAAGCGAAAACATCTAAAAATTACTAATGTGGGCTTACTATTTTACAACAAATAATCAAATATATAGAAATATCAAAAATCATCATTTGTTTTCGTCTATAAGTTGAATATGTTTTTTTTATTAAAATTAGGACACCAACGATGATATCTTTCTTCTTTCATTGGTTAACAAAGCAAATTGCATCTTGCTGAGCCATAAGTTTTATTTTTCTCATAAATAAAAATATTTTATTTTTGTTCTTCATGCTTGTAGCATGCATGAGCCCTATATATTATGACTATTGCATAGAAGTTCATATATAAAAGGATTTAATGTGCAAATTTTTTAGTTGATTTTGAATTTTTAAATTTTAGAGAAATAATTTAATAACTATTTTGTCTAGTGTGAAAGTTTTTTTTAAAAAGTAAAAAAAGACGACGATATTTCGCTAAGGGTTTCTTGCTATAAAAAATTATCATTTGTTGATATACTTAGAAAAGAGATGATAACAATTCGGTTAGAACAAAATTTGTTTATAAGTTCAATAACGTTTTCTACCAAACTATGGACACAAAGATGATATTTTATTGGCCGACGAAGCAAATTGTAATGTTGGTGATTCTATATTTTCTTTTCGTCAGAAATATTTTGTTTCCATTCTTGTGTGAGTCCTATATGTTAGGACTAATTTCATAGGAGTTCAAAACATGGAAGGATCAATATGTAACTAAAATTTTAGTTAATTTAAATTCCTAAAAAATTGGAAAAAAATCTTAAATTACACTTTTGTCTAGTGTGAAATTTATTCTTAAAGGGCAAAAAAGGCGAACAACATTTCACTAAAGGCCTTCGTGCTTTTAATATAGTATATATAGATTTTTTAAGGTGGGGCCACATAGAAGAAAATTTCTTTTCTTTGTTTTATCTAGGGTTGTCAAGTGGGCCGGACCCGATCCTAAACGGTCCTAAGTGGGCCGGTCCTAAGTGGTCCCCGGCGGGAGATGAAGTATGGCCCTTGGATTTTAATTGATTTTTTAAAGTGGGGCCGCATAGAAGAAAAATTATTTTCTTTGTTTCATCTAGGGCTGGCAAGTGGATCGGGCCCGATCGTAAGTGGGCCGGCCCTCACAGGCTTTTTTGTACGAACTAGCCCGGGACCGAGATCACGAACTAATGGTCCCGAGCTAAGTGGGCCGGTCCCGGGCCTAAGTGGTCCCAAGTGGGCCTAACGGATAAACTTTCAATTTTTTTATTTTTATAGAAGTTAGAAAAATAAGATGGTAATAAAAATATCTAAGGCAATGCGTTATAATTTTTGTTATAGCATTGACAAAATATGGCAATATCTTTCTTAGTCTTCCTTCCCCCTATGGAATAAGCACAACAAGGTGCTAATACCACCATTGAGAAGAAAAAGAAACTAATCAAGATGTGCCAAAATACAAGTTACATATTAATTTACATGGTATCTCTTACAAACTTCATAAATCCATTAAGGTCCGGAGGAATTTCTGTTGGTGGTGGCGGAAAAGAAGCTTGGTCATCACCGCTTCCGGGCGAAGCAGAATCCTCTACAAGTTCAGCTAGCATTTCTTCGTAAGCTTCGTCTACTCTGGTTATGATTTAGCAAGTTCAAAATTTCTTCTTTCCGAACAGATTCAATCTCTGAAAAGTACTGATTTTTCCAAGCTCTTCCTCATAGACGCTTTATAATCACCAAGTTGAAGTCTTGCTTGACTGAAAGCGCTCTCCTATGCCACTGTTGAAGCTTGAATAGTTAAAATATCTTGGGTCATCCTTGAAAGAATCGGAAAGTATTTTTCTTTGTCCTTCCACCATTCCAAAATATTAAAGGAGTCGTCAGAATTCACTTCCTCAATTTCCATAAAGAGCATTCATATATTCATGGTTTAACTGTTCACCAGCTCCAACATTATGCAAAAATTGACTCTCAATAAATTATAATAAACTATTATCACTATAAAAAATAGCAGGTGTAGGACGGTTATGGGGTTTGGATCGGGGAGTCGGGGGAAGTGGAGGAGGAATACATTGGCCACTAGATTCACCATTGATTTTTCCTTATTTTTACTAAATATTTTTTTTAAGAAATAAGTCATCTTAATTAATTGTATGCGGTTAAAATCAGGGAAGACCGATTTTAAGGCTTCTATGGCGTTTTCGAGCCCGGCCTCGATGGGATCGAAGCACAGCCCAAGACTAGTCCTCGAAGCACTCGCCTCGGCAGGGCATATCGAAGGCTCGTCATGACGTACCTCGAGGCAGCATGAAAATCGGCGACCGTCATGAAAAGGCGGAAGACTCCCGAGGGCACGTGATGAGGACTGACAGAGTCTGCAAGAATAGTACAAATCCATATTGAGCCGTTATACAGCTGTACCAATAGCATTTCCTCATCATTACTAGACATGTACCATGTTGGGTTTCTCCCCTCTTATATAAAGGGGACCCTTGTCATTTTGTAAGAACACTAAACATATTGAATACAATACAACATTCTCTGCTCTTCTTTAAACGTGCTTAAACAGTTGTTCTACACATTTATTGCTTATTCTCTCTTCACTCATTGTTCATTTATTGTTCTTCATTTATTGCTCATTATTAACCGCAAAGGGCTATCTTTGAGGCCTTCATTATCATTGTTTCTTCATCAATAGTTCATTGACAACTGCCCTTACTACATCAAAGCTTCTGTTCCAGCCAGCTCGAGGCTCGGTTTTGTGATAGCTTTGGTTTGCATTTCTTATTTTCTTTACCTAAACGTAGCATCTATTGCTTTACAACTAGTATTAAGATAAATTACATATTTTTAGAACCACAAATCAAATATAATTGTCATTACCCACCGTGGGGCTAAAAATAATAATGATTGTCTTGATGCTAGTTTTTTGAAAACGCAAGTAATTCTTCACACTTTTTCTTGTCCAAGAATCTTTGATTTCAGGTCAAAAAATGTCTAACTCAGCAAATGCACACGAAAACAACGGTATTGGTCTTCATGGGGAGAACGGTGCAGATGCCGGTGTACCACCACAAAACCCGGGGGTGGCACCAGCACAAATCCCCGTCGATGTGGGCTCACGCAGCACTGTGCATATCGATGTGAGCTCTCATACCAACGGAAGTGTGCGCGGAGAAAACCAACATGAAGCACAAAGGACTCCAGTTCATGAGGAAAGAGAAGTTAGCCTTCAAGTCATTTTTGAGATGTTACAAGCACAACAAGTGGCTATTGCTCAGCTACAAAGTCAACAGAAAACTCCAAGCACAGCAGCTCCGGAAATGGCTCCTCGAGTCGAGCAGGCACCAGAAAGATCGAGTAACAACAGGTCAGCAGCAGACCCCGCTATTATGAAGATGCTCGAAGACCTCGCCAAAAGGATTGAATCAAGAGAAAAGAAGATAGAGGCTAACGATAAAAAGGTGGAGACTTACACGAGGGTCGATCAGATCCCGGGCGCACCTCCGATTCTGAAGGGCATAGATTGAAAGAAGTTCATACAGAAACCATTCCCACTAAGTGCGGCTCCGAATCCCATCCCGAAGAAATTCAGAATGCTCGATGTCCCGAAATACAACAGGACCACAGACCCCAATGAGCACATTACTGCTTACACTTGTGTTGTAAAAGGGAATGACTTAAAGGATGACGAAATCGAGTCCGTCTTGTTGAAAAAATTTGGAGAGACACTATCAAAGGGGGCTATGATGTGGTATCATAACCTACCTCCAAATTCAGTAGATTCATTTGCCATGTTAGCATACTTTTTTTTGAGGGCACACGTTGTTTCCATCAAGGTCGCCACCGGGAAGTCTGATGTCTTCAAAATCAAACAGAGAGAAAACAAGATGCTAAGGGAATTCGTATCTCGCTTCCAGATGGAGCGAATGAAGTTGCCACTGGTCTCCGATGGCTGGGCAGTGCAGGCCTTCACTCAGGGCTTGAACGAACGAAGCTCGGTAGCCTCGAAGCAACTAAAAACAAAATTTGATCGAGTATCCCATCGTGACCTGGGCGCACGTGCACAACAGGTATAAACCGAAGATCAGGGTCGAAGACGACCAATTAGAAGCCCCTTCGAGCTCAGTATATCCTAGCAGGCTCTTAACAAAGGAATCAAAGTCTATAGAAAGGGAGTCGAGATCAGGAAAAGAAAGGTATCAGCCATACTTCAAAGATCGAAGAGACACTTCAAGGCGGAATAAACCCCGAAATGAACGAGGAATAGATCGAGGCCAAAATTCCTAGGGACTTGTGAGCAAGACCGATTTTGACAGGCATTCGAGACCAATGGAGGCACCCTGATTGTCGGAATATAACTTCAACATTGATGTCTCGGACATCGTATCAGCCATGGGTAGAATCAGGGATATCAGATGGCCAAAGCCCGCACAGTCAGATCCTTCCCGAAGGAACTCCAACTTGATGTGTGAATACCAAGGCATTCACGGTCATAGGATCGAGAATAGTAGACAGCTCCAAGAGGAGGTGGCC